GAGCGGGCTTGCCTGACGGTCCCTCCGAGGCTCCGAGGCTCCGAACTTACCGATTCCGACGTCCCTCGTGACGGGGCCGACCTTTTCACCAATTCTCCGTATTTCTTGGCAGCCTGAAAATCGGCTCGGATATTCATGGGGATTGGCAGCTCGATGCGCCGCACAATGCGTCTGATGTGCCATCGGAGCAGATTAATGGAACGTGCTGGCCTCGCAGATGCCTAGACAAACAGCCCAATTTTTTCTGCGGCGACGCACCTGGCGTTCTTCGAACTGCAGCTTTCCTTCGGCTTTCCTCCCTTCCAGAGCATCAGGCCGCTCGAGGGTTCGCTCCCTCGTTGGACCTTTTGGCCTTTGCGTCTTTCTGGGCCGGGATGACGCCGGGCTCAGCCCTCTTGCTCTTTTTCTCTACTTTGTTTTCCAAACGTTCCTCGTTCTCCACCCCCCTTCCCCGACTCTTCCGATTCTTCAACCGAATCCTCAATTATCGGAAGCCACCGGGAGATGGGAGGTAGGTGCCATCCTTGGAGAACCTCACGAAGCCCCTTCGAGCAAAGATTCGTCGGAAGGTCCTTCCGGATCCTCAACGCACGTCGATCGCTCGATGATCGCGAACTTGAATTCCAACGGGGTGGATGGGGTGCAGTGTGCCGGTGTCAGGAGGGTTGTTGGGATCGGAGGGTGAAGAGCGGCAGATGAATGGGGAGGGGGGGGTCCCTGGGAGAGTGGAGGGCAGGAGCGACATAAGGGAAGAGAGAATGAAAAAATGATGGCGCGCGAGCGTGTGAAGAGAAGCCCGAAGAAAGTCCCGTAGGAGGAATCCGGTATCTACGCGCGGGGTCCGTCGAGTTGGTAGGGTCCCCTTTTCAATCCGCGGTCCCTTCGCGAACAAAGGACCCCGTCGGTCCGTCCGTGCGTTCGCACGTTCCTCCGTTCCTCCGTTCCTTCGTGTCTCTCGGTGCCTTGGACTCTGGGGACTCATGGGAATTCTCTTGGGAACGCGCTCCCGCTTCTCCCTCGTGCCTTCCCGCCTTCCCGCCTTCCCGCCTTCCCGCCTTGCGTCTTCGGCTCACGACTTACTTCATACGTTCACGCATTTTTCCACGACGCGCTGCGCTGCTGCACGATGAGATTCAGCGAAATCGCGATACCGATTGCGTATCGAGATGCTTGGCTTAGTTTTTTTTTTTTTTTTTTAGTAATATTGCCGAAAGAAGGAGACGAAATTTGAATTGGCCTGTTCTCGATCTCTGTTACTCAATACGTGCGCGCGCACATGTTTACATGCTTGAGCTATTAAAAGCGCGAGTGGATTCGATGGGACTTTTCACGTTTTCGACCTGGCACCACCTACGAATGTCACGCAAGGTTAATGGGCGTCGCGATCTGTGCACAACCACACACGCGCGCCCTCTACAGTGCCCGCGCCCAGGGCTGCTCGCCTAATTACCTGATTGCCTAATTATTGGCTCACAATAAGGAGCAACGAGCAAGACTCACCGTTCGCGGAAGTTTTAGGTTAATAATTTTTCACGCTGCTGGTCGCGCGTTACGGCAGAGAATCCTATTTGGCAATTCTGTCGATTGATAATTTATAATTGGCCACCGCGAAGCCCGAGCTTATTCCAGTTGACGTTTTGTCAGGTTGCGTGGGCGGCGGCGCTTGGGGGTGGCGGGGGGTGGAGTTCGGACGCGGCGGCGCTGGGGAAAGTGGAAAGTGGTGGAACGGCCGAGGGTCGGCGAACGTAAACAACAACCCTGGAGAATGTCAGGGGTCGCGGAATGTAGGGCAACGTGCTGGGCAGGAGCGTCATGGGGTCGGAACGACGCCGGCCGTCTTGTTCCACCTCGGGTTCTCCCAAGACAACAGGCGACTTCCGCTCCCTTTAAATGCAGTTACGGTATTCAGCAGCCTGCGCACCAAAGAGGTCGGGGTCTCTCGGCTCTTCATTCGCCTTCGACTTCTTCACCTATGCACGTGGTGTTACACGCGCACCTTATCGGCGCTTTGCTCGCTATCAGCTAAGCTGGGAAGGAAGGATCGAGGAAGGATCGAGGAAGGATCGAGGAAGGATCGAGGAAGGATCGAGGAAGGATCGAGGAACGACGTCCTGGGGAAGTGCGCGAGGACGGAGTCCTGCTGCGAGCGAACGAGGCCATTCGGCTCCTAAAGCTTCTCCTTGGGGCTTTTGTCTTGGCGACGAGTCGCCTGGTCGACTGGCGAGGACTCGCTGGGAGGACTGTGCCGGGAACTGTCGGTGTGCTCGGGTGACAGCGTGCAGGAGGGACTCGAAACGGGCTGGCGGATGGTGGCACCGAAGCGCCGCTTGCGAACGTGCCCTCAGGGTGCGTCGAACGACGCGATCCCTTTGCCCTTCTTTATTGGCGCTCGCGCTGGCCCGAAGAAGCGCACCGAGGGAGAATTCGCAAGTTCGCGAATTCGCGAATTAAGGAAAAGGGAATTCGAGAGGAGCCGAGCGTCTAGTGCCTCTGACGTCATTGTCCTCGAAGATGGCGACGACGAGGCGATCGCTGCCGATTTTCGGGCTCGGAAGCAGCGACGTCGCTGATGTTGCTCCTAGCGCGGCGCCAATTCTGCGACGTAGAAGCTGCGAGGCGCGCCGTCGGCGGCCATGTTTGCGCGGGTGCGGTGGGCGTGCCGCGTGCGGCGCGTTCTCCAACGGGCCTGGAGAACGCGCGCCTCCCCTCCCGAGGTCTTCGAGGCCGCGGGTGGGGGCCGACGAACGGCGTCTCGCTCGCGGGAGGGGGTAACGCCACAACTCCCACTGGGAGCCACATGGATGGAGGACTATCGAGCTACGCCGCCACCGTCTCGTCCTTCTCGTCCTTCTCGTCCTTCTCGCTTTCCCGATAGACCCGCGAACCACCTTCTTCTTCTTCTTCTTCCTCCTCTTCCTTATTCCCTTTTCTTCTGCTTCTCTCCATCCTTCACCTTCTCTCTCTTCCATTCGCACCGGGCACCATCCTAATGAGACAGAGCTCCTGTCGCGCGATCCTCCCTGCCGGAACTGGGCTTCCATCTCCCCCCC